TATATGTAAATATTCTATTTTGAGACTCGAGTTGCCTGTTGGGCCAGATTTTTATCAGTTAAGTTGTTTATGTCTTTGCATGACATTGAATTATTCTGTTGAGTTAGATTTCCGCTGAGTTAAGAAAGCCAGGCCAAGGGTTCGCCTAGGGCCAGCAATGGTCTCCGGGTGCCGGTCCCGCCCAGGGTGTAGGCTCGGGGCGTGACAATAATTTCATTAAGTCAATCTTTTCTCTTAAACCCGATGAATGAATTAAATAAATTGGCGGACAGCCTCGATTTATATATTTAAGTATTTTATTTTTAAAAAACATTTTAAATTAAATAAGTTTTAAAAATATTGGTAATAACCAACGGCAGGTCAATTTTTAAGATTCTGCATTGTTTTTAATTTTAATTTTGTAGAAAATCAATGAACAGTGTTGATTAGTTAGATCAATTTTTCGCAAAAAAAATGCAGAAACGTGCAATTTCTGCATCTCACTTGTCAAATGTAATTAATTGCAATTCAATATTTACTTGTAAACCAACACTAAATGTTGCAAAAATCAATTTTAACTGATCTATAATATCAGTAACAAACTGACTAAATACATACTAAATATCCATCAAACAGTCTAAAAGGTCTACCAAAGTTCATTCATTTACAAAACATTCAATTACTAAATAGTATTAAAATTATCAAGTCAATAATATTCCTAATTAAGGTATCTAGGCAACATTAAACCGATGGACAATGTTGGGTTTTTTTAGATATATTTTTTGTTAGTATTGCCCAACTCTTTCAAAATATCTTACGCGTAGGGGAGAGAGCTATTTATTATCTTCTATACTCCCTCTTTATGAAACTTTTTCTATAGCTAGTTCTCACTGGTTCTTATTTTCTTCATGTTTGTTAATTAATAGAGATTCACAATAAGATTGGTAAGGTAAGACCTATCCCCCTCATACTTATTTCTATTGAGGATTTTTATGTTAATAAAGTGTCTAGTGGTATACATTCAAAAAATAAAAAAATACTCATGTAAATATTACTATTTATTTTAGATTATAAGTTTAAAAAAATAATCTTTTATTCTTAAATTTTATGTCTAGTCTAACACTCTCACATAATTTGAAATTTGAGTAATATATATTCTACTCACGGATCTTCATCGTGGACAAATAATTGTTGATCGTAAAATAATAAGATAATACATAAATATGTCTTTTAATGTGACATAATATAAATCAGCTTATCTCATGCGAATTATTATGTAGGCCGTTTGTGTCCACTAATTTAGTAGTAAGTTAGTTTTGAGATGAGGAAGTGAAGAAATAAACTATATATTACTGTATCTCAATTGCTCTTCATTCCCAGTCCACAACAGTTTAATTCTTGTGTCACAAGGATGTATTTCAACAATGAATTGTCTAATCTGAAAGATCGTCTCCTTAGCACGCTGCAAGATCAAAAGTACTCGGATTTTACAAGGGATCGAATAAATTTCTTTCTATGGGACTTAAAATTCCTCGATTGTTTTCTCCATTTGAAAAGGTTACCTTTTGCAAGTGAATGCGGTATGCTAAAAGTCTCACAGAAAATGATAGAAATTTGGAAGTTTCAGTGTCCTAGAGAATCCTATGATTGTCTAGATCTATTTCCGTACAAGACTCTGTATGTTTTTAAATCATTTGCCTACTGGAAGAAGGTAATTTGGAAGACTAAGCAAGAATTCAGAGCTGAATACTCTTTTCCAAATACATCACTTGCAGCCAACAAGGTGGATGATGTTAGCCCCAAATTTGTGATGGAAGTCATCGATGCTTTTGTGGAGAACCTCAATGTTCTAGTGAAGATCAATAATCCAATTTCGTGGCTTTTTGTTCCAGAACACAAGGAACAAATAGAACAAGTGTTAAAGGAGTTGAAGTTATTGAGATTTTTTGTCTGCTTTGTTTCAAACAAATGTAGTATACAGCCTACTTTTTATATTCATGCTTTAATTGAGGCTAGCCACATTGCAATGGTTGTCTGGTTGCATTTGCCAGTCGTCTATGGCAACGGAAATCCAGACTTGACTCCAAGTGAAGTCAGTCGTTTGCGTTCTGATTTCATGGAAATGAAGATTAAGTCCATTCAGCCAGACATCAGCCGCAACAATATTTATATTGATGTCCTGCAAGCTTTGAAGTCGACCATACCACAAGCTCAAAAGAAGCATGCAGCTGAGAGTGGCATTGTGGAGATTCCGACACACAGTCTGATGATTGGTTTGAGTCATCAAATGGCTAACCTTCAGGAGATGCTCTGCCTTCTAAGAGACAATCTCATTCATCTGCCAATACTAGATCTGGAATTTCATCTTCAAGATATGGATTCTATTATTGTTGATGCCGGACTTCTTATTTACTCATTATATGATATCAAGGGGGAGAAGGAAGACACAACGTTGGAGGATATCAACCGGGAGCTTGGTTTTGATCTTCCCAGAAACATTGAGCCTATCAAGGTGATAGTCTACCTCGTCATGCAAAAGGCATTTCAATGTAACTTGCCAAGGATTCATGGACTACGCTATGTTGATTTTCTATTGAAAAACCTGAAGGATTTCCAAGGCCGTTATTCAGATTCACTCGCTTTCCTAAAGAATCAAATTCAAGTAATTCAAATGGAATTTGAGAGCTTGCAACCTTTCCTGAAGGTTGTTGTAGAAGAGCCACACAATAAGTTCAAGAGACTGAATGAAGACTGTGCTATACAGATAATTAGGAAAGCACATGAGGTGGAATATGTAGTTGATGCTTGTATAAACAAAGGCATTCCTCATCGGTGCCTCAAGCGTTGGCTCCAGGATATCATAAAGGAGATTACTTGTATCAAAGCAAAGATTCAGGAAAAGAACATTGTTGACGATACAATGAAGACTGTCATTGCTCGTACATCATCAAAACTGGCAAGGACTCCGAGGATGAATGAAGAAATTGTTGGGTTTGAGGATGTCATAGAAAATTTAAGAAAAAAACTACTGAGTGGAACCAAAGGGCAAGATGTCATTTCAATTCACGGCATGCCAGGTCTAGGTAAGACGACTTTAGCCAACAGACTCTATTCCTACAGGTCAGTTGTCTCTCAATTTGATATTTGTGCACAATGTTGTGTGTCTCAAGTATATTCGTATAAGGAATTTTTATTGTCCTTGCTATGTGATGCTATTGGTGATGCTTCTGTGCATAGAGAACTTTATGCCAACAAATTAGCTGATAAGATTTGCAAAACTTTATTGCCCCGAAGGTACCTTATCCTTGTTGATGACGTGTGGGACAATAGTGCTTGGGATGATTTAAGAGGTTGTTTTCCAGATGTCAATAACAGAAGCAGAATCATTCTAACAACAAGACATCATGAGGTTGCCAAATATGCTAGTGTTCATAGTGATCCCCTTCATCTTCGTATGTTTGACGAAGTTGAAAGTTGGAAGTTGCTTGAAAAGAAAGTGTTTGGTGAAGAAAGCTGTTCCCCTCTCCTAAAAAAAGTTGGGCTAAGAATAGCAAAAATGTGTGGACAACTCCCAATTTCAATTGTTTTGGTGGCTGGTATTCTGTCGGAGATGGAAAAGGAAGTAGAATGTTGGGAACAAGTGGCCAACAATTTGGGTTCCCACATTCACAATGACTCAAGAGCCATTGTAGACCAAAGTTATCATGTTTTACCCTGTCATCTTAAGTCTAGCTTCCTTTATTTTGGAGCATTTTTAGAGGATAGAGTGATTGACATTTCAAGGTTAATAAGGTTATGGATATCAGAATCACTTATAAAAAGTAGTGAAGGCAGGAGCTTGGAGGATATAGCAGAAGGTTACTTGGAGAATCTTATTGGAAGAAATCTAGTAATGGTTTACTCAGAGGGCCATTTCAGATGGTAAGGCCAAAGCATGTCGCCTTCATGATGTACTACTCGACTTCTGCAAGGAAAGAGCAGCTGAGGAGAATTTTCTACTATGGATAAATCAAGTATTTCAAGTTATATCTGAAAATTAATGATGTGATTTTGCTAATTGATATATTCACAGGGATCAGATTACCAAAGCTGTTTACTCTCACAAGCAGCATGCTCACTTGGCGTTCACTGAAATGGATAATCTTTTAGAATGGAGTACGTCTGGCTCACTTGTTGGCTCTGTACTTTTTAAGAATTATGACCAATACTCTGCCCATCGTCTCTTATCCTCTTATGCTTTTGAAATTTCACACATTTTACCACATTTCAAGTTTCTAAAAGTAATGGATTTGGAACACCAGGTTGTTATTGATTTTATTCCGACTGAGCTCCCCTACTTGAGGTATTTCTCTGCGCTCATTGATCAGAATTCAATTCCTTCAAGCATATCCAATCTTTGGAACCTTGAAACTCTTATATTAAAGGGTATATCAGCTAAGACGCTATTACTACCTAGTACAGTTTGGGATATGGTTAAATTGAGACATCTGCATATTCCTGACTTCAGCACAGGAAATGAAGAAGCATTATTTGAGAACTCTGCAAAACTTTATGATTTGGAAACCCTTTCCACTCCATATTTCTCTCGTGTTGAGGATGCAGAATTGATGCAGAGAAAAACGCCTAATCTTCGAAAACTGATATGTGAAGTTGAATGTTTAGAATACCCCCATCAGTACCATGTGTTGAATTTTCCAATACGGCTTGAAATACTAAAGCTTATCGATCAAAAGCCTTTAAAACCATCCCCTTTGCATCTCTGCACCAAATCTCAAATACTTGAAACTCTCTGGCTTTTACCTGAATTCTCAGTACTTATCAGAAACTGCTGATCATCTGAAGAACCTTGAGGTACTCAAACTGTACTACGTTGAATTTGGTGATCATAGGGAATGGAAAGTGAGCAATGGCAAGTTCCCTCAACTCAAAATCTTGAAACTAGATTATTTGTCCTTGATGAAATGGATTGTAGCTGATGATGCCTTTCCTAACCTTGAACAATTGGTTTTGCGTGGATGTCGAGATCTTATGGAGATCCCTTCTTGTTTCATGGACATCCTTCCTCTGCAATACATCGAGGTAGAAAACTGCAATGAGTCTGTTGTCAAGTCAGCCATGAATATACAAGAAACACAAGTCGAAGACAATCAAAATACTAATTTCAAGCTCGTTCTCAGCGAGGTACACTACTGAAAAAAAGCTTTATTCTGCATGATTTTGATGAATCAGAAATGGCCTAAATTTTATGAACTGTTTTCTCTGTTATCTTACCTGGTGCCCTCGTTTTACATTTGGTTTTTTCTCTTGGTTTTCTTGCAGAAAAAGACGTTGGAATTAAATTATCTCTTGACGAAGATATATCCAAGGCATATATAAGAGATTTTTTATTCGTCGAGGTACTACTTTTTTTTTTCTTTCTTTCCTTTTTTTTTTAATACACCAAATAGATAGATTCATCTTTTTCGTCTTTTCGATATGAAAGGGATAGAATCAATTTCAATTGATATGAAAGAGAAGAAACTTACTGTGACCGGAGATGTGGATGCTGATGAAGTTCAATTAGTTGTGGAGAAACTGAGAAAGCGTGGCATGCCAGGGTTGTAGTCCCAACTTGTCAACACAAATGTGCTATAGTCATTTTGCTTACTGTAATACCATTTCATGACACACACAAACATGTAGTAAAGTTTTGATGGATCAGTAAATCTGAGTTCAACCCATTGTAATCCGTTTAAATTCAACTCAAAAAATGCCCATGGAGTTATTCTTTAACAGGGTATCCAGAGTTTGTAGCTGGAGCTATTTCGAATATCACATGTAATTTCTTTATGAGTTATTTTGTTTAATAAAGATTCTGTAAAACGTCCAACCGCTGGTGCATTCATTGTAAACTAAATACATCTCAGAATGTAACTATTGAACAAATTTTTCATTTAAGTCCTTGAGGTTTGATGTAACTAAAGAATTCAAGGCACACAATGTATTTCAGGAATCTTTTATCTCTGCCTGCAGTTGAATATACCAGATATCAGATCTGAGACAATGTTTAAAAAGGAAACTATTATTTGACCCTATTCCTTTCTCAAACCTCGAAACCAACACCAGTTATACAACAATATATGCAGAACCCTTTAACTATATACTGTATACAAATTAAATGAGTAACTAAGCATTTGAAGAAGACAAAAATTGCAGTGGTACATACTCTATGACAAACATGTACTAACAGTATTGTCAATGTTCCTTGCAATCTTTAACAGGCTTAGCTTCAAAACCTCCTTCCGGTCTCCTCTCAAGTTCATATGGCATCTAAGTACCAAGTATCCTGTCCCACGTCACAAAGAAAGGCTGTGAATAGTTATACTTGGTCCCATAAAGCTGGTGATGGATATCATGGTAAGCGGATGTTTTTAAAGAAGATATGGAAGAGATTTCCGGGCAACCATAGTACGCAGTGATCATCAACCGTCTTGATCGTAGCAAATGAGAAAAAGAAGATGGAGGTACGTGGTGATATGCCAGAGACAAGGAAAGCTAGAGCCCCGCCAATTGTGTCAAGAAACAGACCCTCCAAAGGGTGGTTGTACAAAGCTCCAAAAGCATACGGAACAATTAGCCGGTGATGTTGAGCATGGATATGTTTGTACAAGAACTTGTTTTGGTGCATGTACCGATGCATAAAATATTGCCAAGTATCTAACATCAACATGGCAACAAATAACTGTCTGCCAAGAACAAAGATTGAAGTGTGTCGATCTCCACCTGATTCACCATCATCAACTGTGACCTGCTCCATATTAGTAGATAATCAGACAACAAGAATTAGTAAAAATACAAACATAAAAATTGACATGATGTGGAACAAGAATATGAGAATCAAGTTCATGATTGGAACAAGATACTAAAAGTACACAAAACAAGTATGGGAAGTACAACTCCTCATGGTATGTACTCAAGTTACTTATC